AATCCATAGACTTTACTCTCAGTTTCATTCTGTTTTTATATTCTCCCTGAGACATTTTATTAAGAGATCACATGTTTTAGTTCTAGAATGTCCTTTTGATACTTCTTTAGAAATCTGTTTTTCTATTGAGTTTTTATCTTTTTATTCATTATGATGTGCGTGCCCCTTTCCATCATGGTGAATTCTTATAACTGTTCAAAAATGCTTATGTGCTAATTCTAATATTTGGGTCATCTTGATTTTATTTACCTTTAAGATTTTCTCATCCTTCAAGTGTCTAGTAATTCTGAATTATATCCTGTACATTTTACATGTATTCTATTATGTACTTTCCAAAGTGAAGCATTTTTCTTTTTAGATTTTTTTTAAAACAGGCAGTTAACTTATTTGTAATCAAACTTGAAAAAAAATCTGTCTTTTGGGTAGCAGCACAAATCTCACTTTAGCTGCTCATGGGTAACTTAGCGATCTGCCAGAGACTTGTGCGGACTCTATGCACAGTGATGTGGGTTGAATATTAGTTGTTCCCGCCAAAAAAAAAAAGTGTCAGCAGTTGGTCCTGCTGTAGTGGCATGGAGAAGTGGCGAGGACGTCAGGAGCTGTCGGGTTGCACACCATCCAGTCTCATAAAATGGCGAATGCCATCTTTCAAGAGTAAGAGCTCACACTCCTGGGAGCAGCTTAGCTATCGTGAGGACACCTTGTAATAAAGCAAGATTACTCCTTGCATTTTGTCTTTTCCACACATAGCCTGTTGCTCTTGCATTTTCCATCATGAGTGGATGGAGAATGTGTCCCCTTGCCAGCCTTATGGTGGACATTCCAGCCCTAAGAACTGAAAGAACTCTCTTGTCTCTGTAAATGATCCCTTCCCAGGTGTTCTGCTAGCAACAGAGAATGGACTGGGTTAAATGATCTGGCTCCTCCAGCCCGGCTCCTTAATTTCCAGGTTCCCCTTCGGTTTCCAGCGGTTGTGATGATTCTTCAATCCAGAAAGGCTCTGGCTTCCTGTCAGAATTTAGTCCTCCCATGTGTTAGGGTTAATACCTGAATGTCCCCTCAGTGCCTCATGAGCTCATGTGTGGGGCATTTGGGAGGTGACAGAGTCATGGTGTGTGATCCTGGATTAGTCCGCGGGAGGGTTTCTAGCTCCAGGCATGTTGGACGCTGAAGCCTCGTGGGAGAAGGTGGTCCCTGGAGGTGCAGCCTGGAAGCAAGCAGGCCCCTACTGCCTGCTGCCTGCTGCCTGCTGCCACCTGCCGGTCATGCCAAGAACCGTTTGAACTGTTCCTCCACTCCATGCCTCCCTCTGCCTCACCTTGAAGCCAGCTGACTGTGGACTGAAACCTCTACAAACTGTGAGCCTAAGTAAATTTCTCCTCCTTTAACTTGTGGCTGTCATGTGTTTGTGCCCACAATGAGAAAGTAACTAAGATGTCATGCCATACACTCATTCCTTTCAGCAGAAAGGCAGAAAAACCAACTGTGTATGTTGTTCCATTCTCCTATGAGTGATCGCTTCTCTAGAATAAATGAGTTTTTATCCACTCTCTGGTTCTTTCAGGAGGATTCTTGCTATTTTCTCCCCTACTTCCTCAGAGTTTATAATTGCTGTCATTGGGAAGGTGGGACCAGACACAGAGCTGTACTGAAGTGGAATTCTCCATTGTCTTGTTTGTATTCTGTCTTTTGAACTTACAGGACATTACGTTCAGTCTTCAGAGAAAATTTTCCCTCAGCTCTTTGTATGACCCACCCCTCCTCACGCCAGGTCTTCATCTAAGTTTCACTTATTCTAACAGTCCCTCCTCAAGCCCCTCCCCCAGCTTCCCCTCCTCAGGCCACCTCAGGCACTACTGTCTAATGCTTCAGTAGGTACTGTATTACTGTATTTTCCATTATCTTCTCTCCCTGATCTTATACTGTACATTGATTGTTCTTACTGTTTTTTTTTATATTTTTTCTTCTCACTAGACAATAAGTTCATGAATACTGGGATTTTTCACTTTCTTTATTAACATGACATCTAGAATACTGTATGGCTCATAGCAGAGGCTCGCTAAATATTTGGTCAATGACTAGTTCACATGAGGCACACAAAAATACACTTATACCCAAATAAGTTCAACCACTTTGTCACAAGATACTTTTTTTGACCAATAGTGGTAGAGCAACTGGACAGCTCCAAGGAAAAAAGTAAATATTGATCTAAACCTCACATTTTATACAAAATTAACTCAAAATTAGTCTTGTGGTTAAATGTGCAACATAAAAATAGAAGAAATTTATTTTTAAATAGGAGAAAAATCTACAGTATCCTGTAGATTTGCAGGATACTGCTTGAAGAAGGGGGCAGCATTTTCCTTTCTAGATATTAGTCAACATCCGTCATATTCTTCCCTTACAGAATTACATGTAAAGTACAAAACTATAACAGTTTTACCAAAAAAAAAAAAAAAGCCTTGAGACAGGATAGGCATACACAAAGAATTTTTAGACATGACATCATAGAAGACAGTACATAAAAGAAACAATTGATAAATCGGACCTCATTAAATGTACTTTGGCCAAATTATAGACTTCTACTCAGCACTTAAATAGAAGGACTACTGACATTCAGAAAAGCCAGAGCACAAACATGAATATATACAAAATGAAGGATTCTGTATAGTATCCAGGGCTAGTATCAATATCAGGGTTCACTCCCTCACAGCTCCACTTTGTCCTTTTGTGGTGGCTTGAAGAAAGGAGGCAGCACTTTTCCTTTCTAGGTATTAACCAACAGCTGTCATGCTCCTCCCTTGCTGTCCTCGCAGAGTGCCCTGGGACAACTTGCCTCCTCCCTCAGGGTGCTCCTGCCATCCCTGGGGTTGCTTCCTGACTGGTCTCCTGGCCTCTCTCACTGGAGGTGAAGTTTTCGGTCATGCCACCCCCTCCCAGTTCCATTGCTTCAGACCCTGAAGAAGTAGCAGGGAATCACTCTAAAGTGCCTAAATCAGGGAGGGAGTGACTGGCTCTATGACTAACATTCCAACTTCCCCAAACGCCAATAGCTGTGATGAGCACAGTCAGGAGTCCTGAATATTCCCTGGTTTCAGCTCTGCCATTTTTTCTCAGAATGGCTGTCAGTCAAACAGCTCCAATCACCTCCTTTCCCACACCCTAGTGAATCACTTCAGTGACAAGTGTAGCCTTCCTGAAGCCCTGCACCCACTTAGACTAATCACAGATTTGCACTTGGGCCAATCAGCAGCTACAAATTAGAACCAATCATAGGCCTACCCTTGAACAGGCCTGCAGCTGCTATATAAGCAGCCCTCTCCTGGCATTTCCTGTGTTAGTCCTAGAGGGTTTCCTCTGGGGTGCTGACCTCCTTGTGCTGCCATAAACAGGTCCTGTCAATTTGCTTGTGATTATTTCTCTGGTTGTGGGGTTTCATGTGAATGGACTCAGGATATTGAGTGCAGAGGTATGGCTAGCTCATTTGTTTTAAGAGAAAGAGTGGTAAACACTAGGGGTTTGTTAGCTCTGACCTGCTCCAGAGACCAGAAAAGTCAGTCAGTAGAATGAAGCAGGAGCAGGTGTCACACGAAGGTGGTCAGAGGTGGCAGAGGCCAGCACCTGGCAGAGTTGGCTGTGTTAACGGATGACATCCAGCATCACCTGGAGTCATCTGGTGGCATAAGGGCCAGGAACAGAGCTGCACTTTGCCGATTCGATTCATGTTATCTGCCTGAATTGAGCAAACAATAGGCAACAATTATGCAACTAAGGAGAGACAGCACGTATGGACCGCTCTTAGAACATAAGTTGGTGCTCAGCAGGTAAAAGGAAAAATGAAAATAGTTCTCCAGTGAATGTTTTACTTTTTTTTTTTTTAACTTGATTTCAGAGATTGCCTTGGGCTCTTTTTCTAAAATCAAGCAGATTCATGGTAAATCTGTTTGCTTTCCTTCTCTTCAGAAGGCTGAAATATAACCATGTCATAGTCCATGTTACATCATAATCTACCCAATTATTTCTGCTAAGTGGCAGCTAGGAAGTTCATATTTTAAACACTTGCAGTAAACTTTTCAGCTGACCTGGGTGGGGAAGTCATTGGTAGACATTTCCCCTAATTTGTCTCCTTTTAGGAAGCATCAGCATGTCTCTCAGTATCACTTCCTATGAAATACAACACTTACGTACGCAAACAGCTTGTCTTTCATGGCTTTCCTTGCAAGGTTACCACGAGGCTGGATGTAGCCTGGAACTGACCGGGCACCTCACCGGCTGGTGCACTCTCCCTCTCCTCCCGGCCCCCCACTCCCACCCGCTCCTCTATGTGCCGGAGAAGTATCCTAGTGCTTCACATACTGTTGTTTTCACTTTTAACGGATGAGAATGGCACCAAAGCATGATTCACTACATAACTTGGTAAATCAGGAACAACGAAGGAACATCCCATCCACATACTATGCAATCATTTGTCATACCTGGCTGTACTTGAGTTTTCTCATATTTCTCTTCTCGCACTAGGCTTTAGGACTTTCAGAAGGAAATTTAACTTTTCCCATCAGTTTTTGTTTTCTCTGTCAAGGTCATCCTTCTAAAAGTCACACTTTTCTTGAGGAGGTAGTGACTTTTCAGGAGTGCCTTCCTCTCCTACTGTCATGTCCAGACTCCAAGGAGAGACTCAGATGTCGCTGCTCAAGGATGCTTTCAGGATGGCTGAGGCTTTGAACCTAAGTCCTTGTTTTATCACTCACAGATGAATTACTTGTGTTGCTCTGTCCACTCCTCCTATGAGCAGATTAGGGCTGTGTTGGCAAGACCCTCAGAGCTCCCCAAGATTGCTTGTTTCTGGCATCAGATCACTCATGCTGGAATTCTTGAGGTTTCACAGGTCCTTTGGCTCAAGTGAGTCTGCAAGCCCCAATTCCAGCTTCTTCCCCTAATCTTCTTCCTAATTCAGGCTCACCCTTGACCCAATTTCCCCCAGGCTTCACTGCTGTAGACTGCTGAGGAGCGGACCTCTGGTCTGACTGTCAATGCTGCAAGTTCTGTCTCATCCCTCAGGTATCTCCGGACAGAACCTGCGACCTCTGGACTTCTGGTGGTGTATAGGCCACAGGTGCCATGAGGCTTACGCTGGGGAACAGCTGCCCGTTGCTGCACCTCCTGGGGGCTCTAGCCTTACTCCTGTGTCCCTCCAGCTTGCAGGGTGAGTACGATGGTCGCCAGGGGACAGGGCCCTGTGGTAGCTTGCAGGAAGGCAAAGTCAGGCATTCTGTGTATGCTGTATTAGGAATTTTGAATTTGTGGCCAAAACATGATTTATACTAATTTTTGGGAGGTGTAGCACTGTTTTATTAAGTTGTCATTTATTTTTTTCAATTTTACATTTTTATCTTATTAGTATGTGTTTGTAGTTGACACAGCTTATAATCGTCTTGGGGAGTGGTTTCATGTTTATTGGTTATTTTTACTTAATTTAGGTTCCAGGGATCAAACGCAGGACCTTATGCTTGCCAGGCAGGCGCTCATGCCTCTGAGCTATCTCCCCAGCCTGGTTTCCTGCTTAGACCACAGTATTTTTTTTTAATCCCTTCCCCTCCTCCTAATTCCCTGATCTTATTTTTCAATCTTGTTGATATTATTAATATGATATATAATGTTTACACTAATTGAAGCTATTGGGTTCCTGTAGATGGTAAATATTTATTCTACTTATTTTCCCTTCCTCTCCTCCTCAGCTCTCCTATTTTTTCCCTTGGACCACATCCCTGTTGCAAGAAATCTGCCTCCCTATCTCATTCTGTCTTTATTCTCCTATTTATTTGTACTTGCCCTCACTGAAATGTGAGATACTCTGTGGTATTTAAGCTTTGGTATCTGGTTTCTTTCACCCAACATTCTGTTTTCCAGGTGCATCTGTTTTCCTACAAATATCTCAAATCTTTCTACTTTGTAGCTGAATAGTATTCCATTATATAGTACCACATTTTTTTTTATCCAATCATCTGCTGATTGGATACATGTTGTTTTCCAGGATTTTGCTATTATGAATTACCCTACTGTGAGCATTGGTGTGTGTATGTGTATATTGCCGTAGCTTGATGTCTTAAAAGCTCTTTGGGGAAGATACCAAGAAGGAAGATACCTATAAGATTTCTAATTTCAGCTCTTTGAGAAATATCATACTGATTTCCATAATGGATGTACTAGTTTATATTTCTACGAACAGTGTGAAAACGTTCCTGCTTCACCACACCCATGCCAGCATTTGTTAGCTTTTGGTTTCTTCATGATTGCCATTCTTTCCGGAGTTGCAATCTTAACATTGTTTTAATTTGCATCTCTCAAATGGTCAAGAATGTTGACCATTTTTTAAAATATATTTGTGATCAGAATCAATCATTTTAACAACTCACAAATTAAATGTTTTATGAGTGATACAATAAATTATTCATTAATTTTCATTTTAATTTAATGGCATGGTTTAACTATGAGATATTTTAAAGCTTTTAGTATTTTTAGGTATATGCAATTAACATTATAAAGGGAAAATCTTTATATGGATAATTCTGGGGATTTACTCTAATAAAAAGATAATTCTAAAGAACTTCATTATATCTAACTATGAAAATGTTTATAATTCCTTTATTTTTAAGTGAGCTGTTTATCTCCTGCTATATATTTACTATTTTGTTGCCACCTTTAACTGTCTGTAAAGAAAATATAAAGTGATTTTGCCTCAAATTCTGAGAAAATCAACTAGAATTAAAATCATAGGGAATGTGCATAAAAGTTCTTTAAGTTCTTTAAGCCAAAACACAAAATTTTATTTTTGCAATTGGTAAGTAATTTCTATTATGCAAGCATTTAAGGCAAAATCTCTCCATAATTCTCTTCTGTAGTAAGAGATTTAAGAACAAGTGCCATTCTTGGGGCTAGTGGGAGAAAGTACCTGGGTGTTTTGGGCTTGCACAGCCCTTCCATGTTTTTGCAGGGCAGTTTCCCCATATTACACATTTCCTGAGTAGAGGACTCTTCTCTTATCAACATTAAGCTTGATCCTGAACGATCGTCCACAGCCTGCAAGCAGCACCTGCTCCGTACTGAGGCATGCTGTTCAGGTGGACGCCACAGCAAACGACACTGATGCTTCTCACACACTGTCTGACCTGGGCAACCTGCTTGCCCTCCCTGTGCTTCTGTGTTTCTATTTGTAAAATGAGACCAATAATAAATGAACAATGGTATTGTTGGGATTACATGATGTTTCTTTCACATCAGATGGGTAATGTGTCGCAGCACAGCATGGTCTGACGGAGGTGCATCTCATGCGTATGGCATGAACACCCAGTCATCAGTCATGAACTGAAGGATCATGGATTTTTATTTTGTGCTTAAACTTGACACACCATATGGTACCTGACATACCATAACACACACACACTCACACACACACACACACACGCATGCACGCACACACACATTGTTAAATGTTAAAAGTATTGACAAAATAGTTCTACAAAAAGTGAACTGTTACTTGTAGCTTCTCCAAGTACGTGCATACAAACCCTTCTTCATTCTTTCAGGCTGCCACATACAAGGTGGCACCATCACTCTGTGAATTATATGGTATTGTTTCATGAGTAATTAGAGTATATGGGGAAGAAGAAACATCACCTAGTAAATCTCTTCATGCTAGGACCCTTGCACATCCCCACAGGTCTGTGTGTGAGAGTCTTAGTTCTCGTGTGGCAACAATGTAAGGTGATAGAGATTTTAGAGTGGGCCTCAGGGGTACACCTTCCTGTCACCAGGACTTCCGGGCTCCCTCCTCACTTTTTCACTTCTGGGTCACAGTGTGAGTGATTTGCTACACCTTGGACTGTTGCTGATGTGCTGTTCGCTAGGGGGCTGCAGCAATAACTCCATCAGATCATGACCTGGAACCTCGGACACTGAGCCACAATAAGCCATCTCCCTTTCTAAGTTAACTACCTCAGGCATTTTGTTACCGTGATGGAAAGCTAGCATTCCTTAGTAATGAGTCAGAAAAAGTCTTGGCTAGACAGGTGGCTCCAGCCTATAATCTTAGCACCCTAGTAGGCTGAGGTGAGAGGATCAAAATTTGAGTCCAACCTGGGCAATTCAACAACTCAAGGAGACCCTGTCTAATGATAAAAATTTTAATACTGGGGATGTAACTCAGTGTAAATGCCCTGGGCCCAATCCCAATATTATAAAACAAAATTCTCCCTTTCTGTTTCCAAGGTTGCAGTGCCCCCCCTGACATTCCACATGGGCAGTACACATACCTTACTGGATACCTAGCACTCACGACTGAGGTGAAGTATGAGTGCAATAAAGGATATGCTCTGGTCGGAACAGCCATAATCTCCTGCATGTTTTTAGGATGGTCGTCACCTGCTCCTCAGTGTCAAGGTAACCCAGGATTCCCAGGGACAGCAGTACTGCCAAGTGGCTCAAACCTGACTCAGAAAAAGGGCCCACCTAGCTAGAGCACAGTCTCCCTGGGCCATGCCCGAGCTGTAGTTGGCCATGGCATAATTTCCACTACCCAAGAAACAGCACCTGGGAGTTCTTGTGCACTCCAGGACCTTTCAGAAGAAAGCTGACTTCTCTGTCGGTCACCCAGTTATTATACCAGACTATGCAAAATATCTGTAAGAAGGTTATTTATATCTTTCACACTCAACAATCGCAGGACCTAAATTTGTTCTATACAGGAGAAACCCAAGGCAGAAGTCCTGCTTATGAGTAAAGGGTTCAGACTGTAATTAATTCACACTCTGGCACTGCCCTTAGAAGTACCTTGTGTGACTTGGGGTGAGGTGTCTAGCTTCTCTGCTCCTCAGTTTCCTCATCTCTCTAATCAGCATGTCAGTATCTTCGTTGAGGAGATTCTTACGTGAGACTCACATGTGCAGAATACTCAGCACATAATCTGCCATATAGTAAGTGCTCAGCAAATACTAACCAGGAGTTATATTGACAGTGGGGTAGCAGCAGTAGTACCATGGTGGTGGCAGTAGTGACAAAAGAAAATTAGATTTCAGCAACAATATTTCTTATATGTTTGATTATCAATGTCAAATGTACTTTCTTTGAGATAAACAAGATGGTAAGGTAATGTGTTCTAATTACAGCTTTGTGCCTAAAGCCAAAGATACTGAATGGAAAGCTGTCTGTGGAGAAGGAGCAGTATATCAGCCCTGAAACTGTCACCATCCAGTGTGACCCTGGCTACAGGATGGCTGGCCCCCAGAGGATCTCCTGCTCAGAGGACAAATCTTGGAGCCCAGCTGTGCCCAGCTGTGAAAAGGTGGATAATAGTCAATGAATTTTATATCATATGACACTCATCTTAGACACTTTTCTGTTTGGGGACAAAATACCAGACAGCCACAATTTAGAGGAGAAGCGGTTTATTTTGAGAAGGATTTCTTTCTTTTCTTTTCTTTTTTTTTTTTGACTGGCTCAGGCTGCCTTAAGTGCGGGCCTGGTAAGTCATGTGGAGCTGGGGATTGAACTGCGGTCCCCTGCGCCTGACTGGGTTTGCCCTTGCAGGCACTTAAACAATTGAGCTGACCCGCAATCCCCGAGAGCAGTTTATTTTGGCTCAGAGTTCCAGTCCATGGTTGGCTGACTCCAGGTAGAAACAGTACAGAAGAGGGGCCTGGAGAGAAAAAGATATAGCAGCCCTGGAAGCAGAGAGGAAAAGGAGGCACTTAGAACACGGCCCCAGTGACCTGCCTCTACCAGGCCCCAGCTCCTAAGGGAACAGTCAGCTCTGAGCTCACCAAGGATGGGTCCTCTGTTGCAGATAACCCCACCATGAGCCACATGAGAATACTGAGGAACATTTTAGATTTAAATCATGACACTACCTTAAAACAAATTATAGATCAGATAGTTTATAAAATGAGGAAAAAGTCATAGTCCTAAAGGATCATCTCAATCATTTGGGCCAACACATATAGTGTTTATTTGGTCTTATTGTACTTCATTGGTTTATAAGTGGCCAGCCCAGGGAGACAGCAGATCTTATGAAAAAGATATCTTGGTCCTAGCCCTAATATCTGGTTAGCTTTTGTTTCAGTTCCGATCAGTGAGTAGAACTGACGGAGTGGTTGTTCTTTCCCACATTTGGCATTCTCATAAGTTTAGGTTCACCTCCTGGTTTAAACTGATCCTGATTAACATCTACAAACAGATCTGGACTCAGCTCTCAGGAAAATACTTTGTCAGGACTACCCATTTATCCTTGGGTCATCCCTCACCTTCCAATATTTCTCCTATCACATGGAATCCCAAGAGATGTTTAACAACAGAGAATGGGAAGGCTTTCTAAAATTATCATTTTGATTTTCTTTTTCAGCAAGTTCCTGAAGATCATAATATTGTCGAAGCAGGCAAAAACCTCTTACAATGTCTCCCAAGTCCCAGGGATGCAAAAGTAGCCCTGGAGTTACGCAAACTTTCTCTGGAGATTGAAAAACTGGAGCAAGAGAGAGACAAGAAGAAAATCATCTAAATATATGACAGCTCTTTTCTCAAGAAGATGAAGCAAAGATTTGCTTTTCTGTATGCTGAGAGAAAACCTCAGTTTACCAACTCCATTCAAGCATTATCATTTATTGTAATAACTTCGGTAGAACTTGCTAATACGCATAGTGACCCTGGAATGAGAAATTACAAATAATTTTTATATCATTAACCTGCTTAAATTTTTATACTTCTGGATTTGGTAGGCTGGGTGAAATAAACCATTATTAACAAAAATAATTTTCCCTGTTGTGAATAGGGTACTGGGATGACAAAGGTATGAAGAGAAGGGAAAAGAGGTGCTCTGAAAAAGAAGTGTTTTGCAAAGTGAGCGTGGGATCGTTATAGTGAGAGAAGCACCCACTGCCGAGTGCAGGCTGGGCTGATGAAAATGCTCATAGTGTCTTTTATATCCCAGTTTTGATGTCAGATGTAGGCCATACCATCAAAAACCCACCCAATCTTGTACCAGAAAAATCAAAGAGCAGTCTCTGATTGCCTCAGGTGCTTTTGGGATACCGAACATGTATTCTGAATCTCTGTGATTGACAGTTTTCTGAGACTGACAGGTCACACCCAATTGGCCAGCCCCTTTGCCATGCCCTAGTTTCCTGCTTCGTTTCCCCCTGAGAGACAAGAATTCTTGTAATTCTTTATAAGCTGCTGAGACTATGGTGGTCTCTGTCTTCACATGGCTATATCCAGTTAAAAGCGGCTGTAGGTCATACCTGCTAGGGATTATGTGCATTCTTATGTCTTTGGGATGTTGTAGCAGGGTTAAAAGTAAGAAAAGAAACTTGTCAGAAGACAATGAGAAAAGTGTCAGTGAATCATGGAGCCAAGAAAGCTTGGTGAATGTGTTAGAAGAGTTGTGGGCTCCTCAGTCACCATCGGAAGCCTTGATTAATAAACGTTCCCATTAGCTTGGGGACGCAGAGCCCCGGTACAAGAGGGAGTAGATCAGAATATCTTGATTTGTCTTAAAAGGTGGACTATGATAAATTCAGCAAGTAGAGACACTAAACACTATTTCTGCACTTCTTGTGAAAAAGAAAGCATGAAGAGAGATAGTCAAAAAGTTTCCAAGAGTCTAGGTGACATATCCCAAGCAAAATTACTCCTATTATACTCAAAAGTCCCAATATAGGTGTCCATTTAAACTGTGGTAGACTAGAGAGTATTACTATTTATTTGTAACTGAAGCAGAACTGGAGTCATGCCTTTTGAAAAAGAGCCCCAGACCTTCCAGAGTTCACAGCAGCAGCTTTCTTTTAACAAAGGAGGTGACCTGAGATTGCCAGGTTGACTGTGACCACAACTGAGCCAAGTTTGCAGGTCTATCAGCTGGCCTCCACTAGTAATCCTGGGAAAATTTGACCGTATTCCCATATAGGGTTTTTACAACTTGTCACTGTGTCTCTTGAGGAAGGGCTAATTCACGTTCTAGACTGGCCTTGAAGGTCCATGAGGAATTGAGAACAAGACCAAGGTCTTGAGCGGCTATTCAGCTGCCCTTCTTGCCTTTCTATCAGCCTTTTGATTTCCTAAGGAGACCCTCGTCTCTTGGAATGAATGACAGCAATCTGCTTGAGAAGACAGCCTGTACAAATTACACGAGTTTCTATTTCTGCTTTATCTTCCTAGGAAGGCAGTAGGACACTGGCACAATTAAAAACTCAAGGTTGAATACTTGGCCTTCACTGACATTGTAGGTCAAAGTGAAAGTACTTCTTAATAGGGATCCCTTCAACCCTAATTATGACTACAGATCTACAGGAAGGTTTTCCAGAGAAGGAAGTTGAAATAGAATAATTGAATTTGCATGACATCCACGGCCACCCAGGGCTCTTACAAGGGACAGAGATGTCTATGTACGGGGCATTGAAAATTGCCCTGAGCCCTTCAATCCTATTTATCAGAGCAGAATATGATGGTTTAGGCTGGTCTGGCCCCTCTGTGTGACAGGGACAGATCTCCTGACACATGGAGAGTTAGTGGGGTGCTGAGGTTCCCAGAGTGTCTTAAGGCCTTTGCTGTCCTGCTCAAGGTATTGGACAACTGAAAAACACAGTGAGGTTTTACATTGATTAAAAACATTTAAGACACGGTGGCACACACTTGCAATCTCAACACTCAGGAAGCTGAGGCAAGAGGATCAGTATGAGTCTGAGGTCAGCCTGGGCTGCAATGTGAGTTCAGGGCCAGCCTGAACTGCACAGTAAAAACTTGTCTCAAAAAAGAAAACAAAATTAAGGTGAGAAAAGAAGGGAAAAGAAGTACTCTTAAAACATGTATCTATGAGTGAATGCAGGTCAGTTAGTGTAGGAAAAGAACTACAATCTGTAGAACACAGGATGGGAAGGCCAAAAGGCTCCCAGTGCCCACAAGGTTAATGGTCAATGCCTTTTACCTCCACCTGATGTCAAATGTAAGCCAGTCCACCAAAAACCCACATGATCTCATGCCAGAAGAACTGAAGACAGAGTTCTCCAATTGACACCAGGTGCAGGGCTCAGCAGCTGCTGGGCACATGTATCCTGAATCCCCATGAATGACAGGTCTCTGTGATTGACAGGCCAGGCCCAAGGGCCCAGCCACTTAGCTATGTCCTAGACTCCTTCCTCACTAGTGATACTGAGGTTCTTGGGGTCCAAGATGTGCTTTCAGGTTCTTGTGATGACAAACTAAGCATGGAACGGTGTTTACGATGGTACAGAAGAGACAGCTAAAGATTGATGAAGTTTAAAGGATGACGTTATGATCAGATGGAGTAGGCTGATACCAGCAGAAAGGAAAATGGCACAAGTGGTGAGTGCTGGCCTAGCTGGCCTAGCACAACAGCATCATGGTTGGGAGTCATAGGAATCTTGCAAGGTGGGCCAAAGGTGTCTCTGTCTTTCTTACCTTCTCTCTGTCTCTGGATAGTAGACCTTAGGACAAAGGCGGAGGTTTGGTCCTGGGATTTGGTCAGGTGCAGGTGAGTAGAAGGGGATTTGTCCCATTGTTACCATATACACTGAGCCCATGGCTCTGCAAATGTTGAGGAATGAAATTGTAAACTAAAGGAGAAGGTTAGGGGAGTTTACTGGAAATAATGATAAAAGAAATAGCCCTTCTGGATGCCTGTGTACCACAGGTGGCTCTGTGACTTGGAATGACCAGTTGGCACTCGGGCTTTCCCACCCCATTCTTCAACATGTAGGGTTTACAGGAAACTGAGATTTTGGGGGAAAACTGGTTATTTTTCATTTAAGCTTCATCAGAACTCAGGAACTCAGTTGAGGTGGCTGAACCCCCCTTTAGTAGTGAGCGAGCTGCATTTCATGTGCAGTGACCGCTTTCATTCTTGGTCCAAAGTCCTAGCTCACAGTCTATTCTTTTTAAATTCCTGTCATTAGGCTGGTTGCCTAGCTCCAGCGCAGGCTCCTCCTTTAGAAACTGGCTTACTCACAAGCTAACTGAATAAGCTATTCCTTACGCATCACCCCAACTGCGCTGTCTGTATTCCTAGTTTCCATTTGGATACCTATGCTATATAATACGTGTGACCCATGCAAGTTCCTGCCCTGCACTTAGCTGTGTTTCTCTTACACATCATTGTATCCCAGTGGCTAGGAAGGACAATAGGTTCCATAGCGGTGTTCATGAGAGTCTCTTCTTGTTAACATCAGGAGCAGCTCTGGTAAGTCATCTTCCTGAGTTTCTGGACTGTAGCTCTCTCTGTCAGTGTGATATCTTTCTCCCTTTTCTTCTCCTGTCTGTTGACTGTTACTCTCCATCTCTTTCTCTCTGTCACTCAGGAACACATTCCACTGTGTTTGGTAATTCTCCTTAGACATGCAAACAAGTTGTGTGTATGTGTGTGTGTATATGTGTGTGTGTGTGTGTGTGTGTGTGTGTGTGTTTATACTCTCCACATTCCTTGCTCTGGGGTGTACATAATATTTCATTAAACACATCCCTGTTTTCTTCAGCCATTCCCTGTGATGAACACCTATGTTGTCTGCAGCTCTCCTTTAACACCAACTATAACTGGTACTGTAGAATGGAACTTTTATGGTTTTTTTCCCCCTCTAGGAAAAAACAATTTCTCCAAACTTCCCTCTGTTGAGCTTGTACACAACACTCCCCTCAACCTAAAAGAAGTGACAGAATATGCAGATGCCCCAGGAGGCCTCAGCCCAAATTCTGTTTCCCAAGAAAAGAGATAGAGTCAAAGATGGCTGAAAGCGATAGAGCAGTTATATAGATTTGCTTGGTCTCTCTGAGTTCGCTCCCCTTGCCCACCTGAACAGGATGACATAGAGATTTGAGGCAATTAGGCTCCTCATCTCCTTGGAACTAACTTTGAGTGAATGCTTTTTTCCTTTTTACTAAAATATATGGTGTGCTGGGGAGATAGCTCCATGGTCTAAATGCCTGCCTGGCAAGCACAAGGACCCAGGGTTGCATCCCCAGTAACACATGCTGTGCTGCCCTGCACCAAGCCACGTGGTGGTGCATGCCTCTAATCCCAGTGCTGGGGAGGCTGAGACAGAAAGATCACTGTGAGTCTGAGCTGTGCAGAGAGACCCTGTATCAAATAAAAAAACCCCAAACTTTAAAATATATGGCTTCCTTTGATATGGTCAGCACCGAGCAAATGAATCTAAGCATGCACATCTAAATGAACCTAAGTGACAGGGAGCATAGTGATTCTGTGGTAGACATTCTTGGAACTGTTTCTTTAAGAAACTGCATGAGGCTTTATTTTATTTTATTTATTTGTTTGTTTGTTTGCTTGCTTTGGAGACAGGAGTCTTATTACGTAACTCAAACTAACCTTGAAGTAGCCCAGGCTCGTCCAGAACTCTGTAACCCTGCCTTTGCCTCCTGAGTGCTTGACTTACAGGAGTGCCCTCCCCAGCCAGTTCACTGAGGCTCTCTCTCTGATATATGACCTAGCAAGACATTGCAGTTACCAGTTTACTTTTGTGAGCAGTTCTTTTCTTTCCATACTAACAAAACTATACAGTATCATTTACCTTATAAATGTTTCCAACTTCGATTTCATTTGATCTTTTAAATATCTGTAGACTGTATGATGATCCCACTTTCTTATTCCTGATTTTCATAATTCAGTTTCTCAGTCTTTTCTCTTTCTGATCATGTAAGCCATAGATTTATCAGGTTTGTTGATTTTCTCAAAGAACTAGCGTTTGGTTTCATTGTTGGTATAGGGGAATGA